TAATTGTAACACTGTTTCGGTCCTGCTCGCTCCAGCTCTGACGGCTGAAAGCAGGTTTCTGGAGTTTTGTTTAGCTTCTATATTTGCAACAATGTTTCTTAGAGAGCAAGCTCAGAGGCCGGCAAGGCAGGCAGGGAACCTTGGCTTCCTCCGTCACTGGAGTAAGCAAGCCTCCCTGTTCGCTTCAGCTGCCTGGCTGCTGGCCGCCATCTTGGTTGGCAGTTAATTTGCATATCTCGCTGATTAGCCAATGGGAAGGGTAGCGAAGTTATGGTTAATTACCATGTTTCTCTTTTATTAGATAGGATAAGCTGTAGTTAAAATTGGGAATAACTGAAATTCTTACAATATTAAGATTTCCTACCCAAGATCATGGTTTACATCTCCACTTATTAGCTCTTCTGTATATTTCATTAAAATTTTAAATGTTTATCAAATGGGTCTTAAATGTTTCATTATATTTATTTCTAGGTATCTTATATTTTCTTGAAATTATATATAATTTTTGTTTTGTTTCCCATTTATAGATGTGTAATTCATTTTTAAGTGTTGGTTATATATCCAGCCATTTTAGTAAATTTTCATTTTAATTCCAAACACTTCTATAGATTTTCATGTATAAAATAAGATAATTTGAGAATAAAAGCATTCTGTTTCATCTTTTCCAATTTTAATTTAATTGCATTAAAAAACTTTATTACTGTCCTAGCTAGATCCTCCAGTAAAGTGTTTAATAGAATTAGTGACAGTGGGCACCTTTGTCTGCTTTCTGATTTTAAAGCATATTCTTCTAACTTTTCACAATTAAGAGCCAATGTTTATTATAGGTTTTTCTAAAAAGTCTCCTTTATTCTTAGTTTTCTAAGAATTTTGTTTGGATGTTAAATCATGAATGAGTGTTGAATTTTATCAAATTCTTTATCTATCTATATCTATATGTCTATATGTCTATATATCTATATCTATATCTATATCTATATCTATATCTATATTTCTTCTTTACTCTATTACTAAAGTAATTATATTCATTAAGCTTCTAAAGCTAAACTTTCCATGCATTCTGGGGACAAATTAAACTTGGTCATGCTGAATTAGTGTTTCTCATGCACTATACTATGTCTAGTTTTCTAACAATTTGCTTAAGATTGTCAAGCTCATGATTATGAGTAGAATTAGACTGTAGTTTTTTAATTCTTTTACTGTTGTATTTTTAAATTAAGTAATACTAGCTTTATTTAATAATTGGAGGGTGTTTCTTTTTATTCAATTTTCTAGGAAAATTTAAATTTGAAAGAATATGTCCTTTGACTATTTTGCAGAACTTGTATGTAAAACCACCTACCTGTTCCTACTATTTTCTAGGTGAGATTTTCAACCACTAATTCAGATTTTATTTTTTTTAATTATGATAGTACTATTTGGACTTTTTGTTTCTTCTTTTGTCAGATTTTGAAATTCTGATTTTTAAAATATTTGTCCTTTCTGTTTATAGTTTAAAATTTATTAACATAATTATTCATATTTATCTCTTATTTTTAAATATGTCATATCTTAGCCCCCTTTTATCATCATGAATGCTGATTATAAATATCCTTTTACTTTTTAAAATGACTCTTTGTTGGAGGATTTTGTATTTCATTGGTCTAAAAGGATTGCCATTTGTCTTTATTCATCCTTTATATAACATTATTATTTTTTTACATTAACTTTTTTTAGATATTTTTTAAATTGATTTTTAGGGAGAAAGGAAGGGAGAGGGATAGAGAGATAGAAATATTGAGCCCACAACCCAGGCATGTGCCCTGACCAGGAATCTAACCAGTGACCTCTCGGTTCATGGGCCAATACTCAACCACCGGGCCACACCGGCCAAGCCACATTAACTTTTGATCTTTATTACCTCTTCCAAATAAATTTGTTGGATTAATTCTATTGTTATAGCCTATTTAAGGGGTTGGCAAACGTTTCCATAAAGGGACAGATTATAAATGTTTTAGGTCTTATAATGTAAGCCATACAGTCTCTGTTGCAACTATTCAATTTATGCCATTGTAACAGGAAAAGAGCCATAGCAATATATGCATAGGCATGATTATGTTCCAATAAAACTTTATTAACAAAAACAGGTGCAAGATTTGGCCCTTGGGTCACATAGTTCATTTAACCTTGGTCTAACTTTTTGAATCTCAACAGTTGGTCTGTAGACTTCTTCAAGGTTGTGGGGTCCCTAAGAATCTTTCAGGAGGTACGGTCAAAACGATTTGCACATCCCTAGCTGGTTTGGCTCCGTGAATAGAGGTTGGATTGCAGATTGAAGGGTCCCAGGTTCAATTCTGGTCAAGGGCACATGCCTGGGTTGCAGGCTCAATCCCCAGGTGGGGGTGTGCAGGAGGCGGCCAGTCAATGATTCTCATCCCTAATGTTTCTATCTCTCTCTCTCCCTCTCCCTTCCTCTCTGAGGTCAATAAATATATTTTTAAAGAACCTATTTGCACAATAATGCTAGGTTGTTAGTTGACTTTTTCACCATGTTACCTTAAATTGACAGTGCAAAAACAAGGGTGAATAAAATTGCTGGAACCTCAGCACAAATCAAGGCTGTGGTCATTATATTTTTCACCAATGCATACTTGCTATAAAAATAAATGCCAATTTTATTTAATAATGTCTTTAATGAAATTGTACAAATTATTTTATTAAATGTTGATCCCTGGTTGCATTTTTAAAATATTATACCTGTGGAATTGGGATTTATACATAAAGCACTTATGTAATTGTTGGAGTTGCAAGCTCAACTAGCCATTTTCATCATGGAACACCATTTTAACTTTAAAAAAGAACTAGACAGATTATGGGTACTCAGCTTCTAATATTTGGCAGACATTTTCCCAAAAATGAATGAAATGAGCCTAAAAACAACTGAAAATATTTATTACCAATGTCAAAATTTGAGCGTTCAAGTAAAATTGGAATTTAGCATTGTATCTGTCAGTGAGCTTGACAGTTTGCCAATACTTAAAGGCTGTTCAAATGAAATCAGTGGTGATTTTAATAAGTGTGTTTTTCTGTTATAAGATAATAAAATATGTCAACATTCAGAAGATCTTTGCAACTTAGTGTACCAATATTTTCTTGATTATCAATACATAGTATTACAAAATCATGCATGGGTAAAAAATCCTTTTAAATTGCAAGACATACTGATAGCTTTCAGTGTAACAGACCATGAAAGATTCACTGATGTGGTTTCAGATTCCACATTGCAACTAACCTTTAAAAGATTATCACTAGTGGAGATTTGGCATAGTATCAAAGAAAAAATTTTCACAATCATGTAAAAAGGCCGTTAAAATACCCTCCTTTTCTCGGTACATGTCTGGGTGAGGCCAGATACTTTTGTACATTTCAACCAAACTAATGTTTTATAACAGGTTAAATGCAGGAACAGATGTGAAAATCTAGTTCTTTTCTGTTGTCAGACATTAAAGAGATTTTCAATAATGTAAAACAATTCTACGTTTCCAACTAAATTCTTTAGTTTGGGAAAATATATTTTATTAAAATGTAAGGTATATATGATGTGTTATTATTTTTAAATGAGTCCATACGTGTCTTAAAAATTTACTTCTAATTCTATAAATATTGACAGTTATAATTACATGAATAAAAGCTCTTTTAATTGAATTTTATTTCTATTTTAATTGTTTTAAATTACCATAAAATATATTAGATATGAATATGTCATGATTGTGGCTTAATAAATATTATTTAATTATTGAAAAAAAACTAAAAATAAAAGCTCTTTAGGGGCCTTGATAATTACTAAGAGTGTTACATGGTCTTAACACTTAAATGTTTGTGAATAACTGGTCTAGATTATTAAATTGGATATGTAGCCTATTAATGTTTAGCCTTTATTCTTTTTTAATGTAATAATTTTAGATTATAAATGGCCCTCACAATCTGATTGCACCTGCTTCCCGTAAGATTTAGTATACGATATTGTTGTATCCCTCATTTATAGATAAATTTTACATGGTATTGGTGATGTTCGTTTTAATCCAAGAATAATTTAGAAGAATGGTATGTTTTTAATTTCCAAAAATGTGCAGATTTTAATTTATCTTTGTTATTGACCTCTAATTTAATTGAACTCTGGAAAGAGAATATAATCTATATAATAACAATTCTTTGAAATTTTTGTGACTCAGTTTATGTCTTAATATGTGGTAAAATTTATAAATATATCATATGTATTGACTATAATATGTATTTGTCTGTTTTTAGGGTGAATTCTATAGATGTCCATTGTATCTTTTTTGAACATGAAAAGCTTAATTCTTCTCTATCTTTACTAATATAGTGTTTACTTGACTTAATAATTGAGGGAAGCATGTTAAAATCTTTCACTGCAATAGGGATTTTGTCCATTTGTCCTTATAACTCTATACATTTTTTTTTCTCATATTTTGAGTCTACATTAGTAGGTCAACTCAAGAATGGTATAGTTATACATTTTTGGTAAATGGAAATTGTTATAATTAAATAGATAATCCTATTACTCCCCAATAATGTTTTTTTTTTTACTTAAAGTCTGTTTTTTTAACATTAATACAGTTGTTCTACTTTTATTGTGGTTAGTATTTGCCTATTCTTATGCTATTAATTTCAATCTTTCTATATCTTTAAATGTTGCTGGTATTTCTTGTAACAGTATGTCAATGGATTTTATTTTTAATCAATATAGCAAACTGTCATTTAATTAGCATATTTAACCTGTATTTATTATAATGATACTTTTAGATTGTTTCTACCAACTTGCCTTTTTTTATTGCTTCTTATTACTGATTGAAAGTTAATTTTGTTTTTTTATTATTACACTTCCCTTTTTCAGTTTAAAAGTTATGTATACTATTTCTATAATTTAAAGGTCACTCTTGAAATTTTTACTTGCATGCTAACTTAATGCAGTATAAATTTTATAATTTCTTATCCTGAATAATATAAAAATTTTAGAACATTTTTACTCTGACCAACCCCATTCTTCATTGATGTGGTAGCCAGGCCCAGTATTTCAATCCTGTCTCTTTAAACTCCATAAATTAAATATTATTTTAAATTAATTTATACAGACAACATACTTTAAAACTTATTTTTGAGTTTAGTAAATCATGTGTTCTCATCTTTTCTTACATTGCTACCATCCCTCCTGGACTCATTTTTATTCGACTTGAAGCATAGTCTTTCTTTAGAAGTTCTTTTAATGAAGATTTGCAGATGATAAAATGACAATAAACGTGTTTTGTTTATGCTAAAACCTTTTTATAGCCTCATTTTTGAAAGACAATTTACTAGATACACAATTCTAGGTGTATAGCTATTTTCTTTCAATATATTTTTTTCTGCTTTTATTGTGTCTGCTATTACTGATGCAAACTCTTCTGTCGGTAATTATCATTCTTTTGCAAGTGATCTCTTCTCACTGGCTGCTATTGAGATTTTTCTTTTTGTCTCCAATAATTGCAGAGTCACCACACTATGTCTAGAAGTAAATGTCTTCTTATTTTTACAACTTGATAAAATTTTGCTCACTCTTATCAGTTCCAGGAAGTTCTGAGCTGTTAATTGATTATTAAAACTCATTCATTCCCTCTAGTTTCTCTTTATGACTCCTACTAGATGTCTGTTAGACTTCTCATTCCAGCTTCCAGGTCTCTTACCCTGTCTTTCATATTATCCACTTGTCTCTCTGGATGACATGTAATAATCTATTCAGATCTACATTTATTTTATTAATTATTTTTCTACCGGTATCTGTTTCTAATTAAAATGATATTTTTATCTTTAAATTTTTAAAAAATATATTTTTATTGATTTCAGAGAGGAAGGAAGAGGGAGAGAGAGATGGAAACATCAATGATGAGAGAGAATCATCAATTGGCTGCCTCCTGCACGCCCCCTACTGGAAATGGAGCCCGAAACCCCGGGCATGTGCCCTTGACTGGAATCAAACCCGAGATCCTTTGGTCGGAAGGCCAACACTCTATCCACTGAGCCAAACCAGTGAGGGCTAAATTTTGTTTTTTATTCCCAAAACTTTTAAGGGATTTTTCAGGACTCCTGTAAATTATCTCATTTTATGCCCTATACATGTTTTGTATACTTTAATATTTGATATTGTATACCTACTAATTTAATAACTGAAGTCCTTGAAAAATCTAGATCTTTGTTCATTGTTTTAGCTGACATTCACTCATGGTCACATGTGTTCATATTTAAGTGATCTTCATCTATGGGAACCACCAAGCTCTAAATTAGGAATGACTTCCTATTAAAAAAAAAAAAGTTATTCATTTGCTTCTGCCAGAAAATTACCAAGCAGAGAGTATTCATTCTCATTTGAGGAGCCTGACTTAATGTGAAAATACTAAGTTTAGCTTTCCCATTACACCTATTAGGTTTTTTTATAATAAAAAAAGGGGGGAACCACTGGAGTATTTTAGCAAGAAATTAACTTATCTCACATAAGTTTTAAAAAGATCACTCTGGCTTCACAATAAAAATAGACTATAGGAAAAATTCTAGGCATGGGGAAAATAGGTGAGATCATGACCAAGATAGTGATTATAGTAACGGGACATGGAATTTAAGCCAGGCAGTGAGGGAAGTAAGATCAGCAAGTAGAAAGATGCAGAAAAGCTGGTAGAATCAAGGATGGAAGATCACAATGGGATTAAAGAATTGTTGGAGATGGACCAGAGGGAGTCAGCTGCACAGATCAGAACTGATACTGAATGCATGAAACTGAGATTATCCAGAGGTTTTAGCTATTGATAATGATAAGGTCGAGACTACCTATGGGAATGTGTGGCTGAGATAGGTTGGAAGTCAAGAGCACTAGAGAATTGATCAATGACTGGCGAGGCCAGAATGTTCAAAGGATCATCTACTTACAGCTTGAGAGCCCCAAGAATTAAAAATTAAAGCAAGAAGGGAAATGTCTTTCTCTTTGTTGATATGTATGGACAATGACACTTTACTTAATCATCATGATACCTTGAGGAAGAAAATAAACAAACCATTTTTGTTTCCAATTTAAAAAAAAAAAAAACTTGGTAAATGACTGGCATAGTTCCCCAAATTCCATTTGGCATAAAAATTTCAAAATCTTCTAGGAGATGGCTATTATTCACCTTTTAATGGATGATATTTCTATTTTATGTTTTCTTACTTCTACATGAAGCTCCCACTGTCAGAAAGGTCATATTTATTTCTTAAAATCAAGTCTAAATATTACCTAGTCCAGGTTTAGTTCTTTTTATTTTGCTGTTCTTTCTGTCCTTTTAATTTCTTTACTTCCATCTCAAACACTTGAAAATGTTTGTCATATCCAATGCATTTATCCAATTCTGTCATTATTCAGTAGAATTACACACACTCTCTTTAATCTGTTCTTGATAAATTATTTCCAGTAACCATTTAGCATTATTCTGCTCTGGATTCTATATTTCTTTTTTCTTTTGGTGTTGATGTTTATGCAACTGTGGTAACCTCTAGCCTTTTAAAAGGTAGAGGTCTCTGTTTCCTGCACTGAGACCCAAGGACTATAGGTCTGTTTCTAATTGTGTCTAAGGCAATTTCTGCCTCTTCATCCAGTGTTACCTATGGCAGGCCCAAGCAAATGATCACCCATTTAAAACAATTTATGTTCTTATAAAACTACCTCTTAGAATTTACTCTTCAGTTTGCTTCACAATTTCAACCTCATGATTTACTGTCACTTTTATCTGGTTTGCTTCATTTTCCAAATCACTAACCAAGGCAAATGAATAAACAAATAAGGACTAACTACTGGCTTTGAAACCCATCTATAGAAAAGCTTCTTCTCCCACGCCCAGTCAGTCTTCAGTTTACAAACACTGTCTGACATTTTGCTGTAGGGAAAACCGTATGTGTGCCAGATGCGTTCATATAGTACATTGTCTCCTTGAGTGTTCACATCAACTCTTTGAAGATGTTGTTTTTCATATGTGAAAACTAAGGCTCAGAGAAAGGAATAAACTCCAGGTCACACAACTAATTAACGGCAGAGCAAGGATTTGAACTCAGTTTTTCCAGCTCCAAGTCTAGTTCTTATCCCACTATCCTATATAATAAAGAGGTAATATGCAAATTGACCATCACACCCTTGCACAAGATGACTGCCCCTATGTGGTCAAAGATGGCCCCCACAAGATGGCCAGCAGGGGAGGGCAGTTGGGGGTGAGCAGGCCTGCAGGGGAGGGCAGTTGGGGGCGACTGGGCTGGCAGGGGAGGGCAGTTGGGGGCAATCGGGACAGCAGGGGAGCAGTTAGGCATCAATCAGGCTGGCAGGGGAGAAGTTAGGGGGCTATCAGGCTGGCAGGCAGAAGCAGTTAGGGGCAATCAGGCAGGCAGGCAGGAGAATGGTTGGGAGCCAGCAGTCCCGGATTGTGAGAGGGATGTCCGACTGCCAGTTTAGGCCCAATCCCTAAACCGGCATTCGGACATCCCCGGAGGGGTCCCAGATTGGAGAGGGTGCAGGCTGGGCTGAGGGACAATCTATAAAAATACTGATTCTTGTTGCTTATTTTATTTTTAGGTTAGCCTCTTTAAATAAGCATGTCTAAATCTGAGTTTAATTTGATCTTTATCTAAAATATGTCATCAGTTGTTTGAGCATATGACACATAAGAATTTTTAATCACTTATTCTATACTAAATGGAAACAAATGAGCTTAGGTTAGGTTGATTTTTAATTTTTTAACCTGAGTTTTCTAGCAAAGCCCATTTATATAACACTCTGCTTACCTGGAGAGGTGGAATCCTAGAAATGATTTCAGCTGCTTTTCTGCCCAAAGATGAAAACATTGAGTACTTTCAGGACAGATCTTCACCACTGTGAGAGGGTCCACTTGAGTGAGCCCCTCGTGTTAAGAAAACGTGGGAAAGGGGCGTGAAGATTCATCACCATAGGAAAAGACCATAGTACAGCCCTACTGTGGCTTGAACAAGATGGCACCTTTTGGCATCCATAATATAGAAAGTTCTGGAAGTGGAGTTGACCAATTTTAATAAGGAAATCAAGGCTTTCTGTTTCTTTAAGATTCAAGGAAAGGGGTAGCTCTCATATTGGACTATAGTTGCTCTGTTGAAGGTTCACTTACATGAGAGGTCCCCAGAGGTTCCAGGGAAAACCTACTAGTAAGTATAGGGACACAGGGACTGGCTGTGACTTGACCTCAATACAAACACCTAAAGGTTGGGTTGCAGAACTGGTTCCAGCATAGTTCGTACTGTACCTGTGTCTGAAAGGCCCTCTGGATTTAGCCACTCTGGAACAATGTTGGGGTTTGAAGAAAAATATAGCTATGCAACTAAAATTGAAATTAAATCTGTTATTTTGATTTCCTGGGAAAGGCATGCAGGCCCCACTGCATCCCCACGGGTGTGGAGCTGATACATGGAATTGTTCTGTCATCCTCTGGACAGTGCAATCCCCCAGAGTTCCTGGACAATTCTAAATTGAGTGGACCTCAAAAGTGAAATACTAAACTTCCTGAACATAAATGCAAATGGGATTTCATGCAATTGCTTTAAAAACTAAAACTGATTTGTTGTTGTAACCTCAGCTTGGAAAATAGGCTATTTCATGTGCACACTGTACTCTTGATGCATTTTCATAGCTACCTCTTTAGGAGTCTCTTTGCCCCTCTTCTTTTCCTCCCCTTTCAAACTCTTTTCTACCTGGTTAATCTTTCTAAGACATCAACTTTGCCCCAAAAGTCTGCAATGGCTTCTTATTGCCCACAAAACAGTATCCACACTCTCATCCTGTCTTTTGACACAGTCCACATTCAGATCCCTAACCCCTGAAAGGATGTGGAAAGAAATACATATGTATTTTCTACTAGGGGCCCAGTGCACGAATTCGTGTACCTTAAAGGGAACTGTGGGCTGCGAGGCTGTGGTGGGTACAGGGACGGGTCTTGGCCCATCCTCCACACCCCCACCCAGCCCCTCCTGCTGTGGTCCCTGTGCCCCTGCTGGCGGAGCCATTGGGGCCGGCACCAGCAGCAGGTGCGAGCAGCGGCTGCTGCCCCAATCACCCCTTAGGAGCAGGGGGAGGTGGAGAAGCCCTCAAGGGAGATCAGGGCCAGCAGCTGCCACTTGCACCCACTGATGGTGCCGAGCGATCGGGACTGGCACCAGGTGCCGGCAGCAGGTGCAAGCGGCAGCTCCGGCACTGGCTGTGGATGCAAGCAGGGCCAGCCCTGGCAGTGGGTGCACACTGGGCCGGCAGCAGGTGTGAGTGCTGGGCGGGACTGCGGCATGTGGGAGCAAAGAATTTTCAGTAACCACCAGAGGCTTGCCCTGATGACAGCAACCGGCGCCCCGCCTTGGTCTGGCACCCCCGTTCACCTGCTCCAACATCCCGCCCTCGCCAATGCCTGGGCATCTGCACTCTGCTGCCTGCTGCTGATGCCCGTCATATTCTGTGCGCCCCCTGGTGGTCTGCACACGTCATAGCAACCAGTTGTTCCACTGGTGTATTTGCATATTAGGGTTTTATATAGAGAGAGATTTTGTGAGACACTTTATATGTGCTATTCTCATTTAATTTCCTCTTCAACTTTATTTTCCACTACCATCTTAATTGAGGGGTGGCGAATTACATGAAGTACACAACTCAATAAGTTTTTATATATGCTATCCACCCAAGAAACTGTTATTGAAATAAAGTTGTAGAACAATTATCAGTCCCCCCAGGAGCTTCCCTCATTCCCTTGTCAGACTATGCTCCCCAAAGGGTACCACTATTCTGACCATTATCACCAGAGATTAGTTTTGCCTATTCTGAACTTCACATAAATGCACTTGTATGGTGTGTACTCTTTTGTGTCCATCTCCCTTCACTCAGCCTTATTCTTCCATTCAACATAGTGAGATATCACTGTAGAGTTGTTTGTTTTAAATACACATTTAGTTCCATCATGTGAATATAACACAACTTAATTATTTAATCTTTTATTGATAGACAAATGTTTTTTCTCTGTGGGGGCTTTTATGAATAAAACTACAATGAATATTCTTGTATATGCATTTTTGTAAACATACTCACTTATTTGTGTTGGGTATATTTCTAGAAGTAAAATTTCTGGGTTAGAGGGTACATGAGTATTCAGGTCTTAATGTATAATGTAAATTCTTAATGTATAAGAATTTCATTTGTTCCACATCTTTGTCAGCATGAGTATTCAGGTTCATAGAAACTACCAGTTTTCCAAACTAGTTGAAATAATTTATACTCCAACCAGCAAGTAATGTATAAGAATTTCATTTGTTCCACATCTTTGTCAACTCTTGGTATTAAGTTTTAATTTTCACCATTCTGCTAAATGCATAGTAGTATCTCATTATAATTTTAATTTTGATTTCCCTGCTGACCAATCACATTGGCCACCTTTTCATATGTGTATTAGCCATTTGAATATAATTTTTATAAAGTGCCTGTTCAAGTCTTTTGACCATTTCTTTTATTAGGCAATTGTCTTTTTCCTATTGTTCTGTAGAATCTCTTTTTATATTCCGAATATGAGTTCTTTGTCAGATATTTTACATATATTTAAATATTTATGCATATATAAATGTAGATAATGTTATGCAAATATCTTCTCTCAGTCTGTGGATTGTCTTTTTATTCTTTTAATGGCATCTTTTCATTGACAAGTAGTTCAGTTTATCAACCTTTTATTTTATGATTAGTGCTTTTTGTGTCTTAAGAAATCTTTCCCTCCCCAAGGACAATATTTGCTCTTGTTCTCTTCTAGAAGTTTCATTGTTTTATATTTTATTTTCAGGCTTATAATTCATTTTAAATAATTTCTTATGTTTGATGAGATCTCAGTACCCACTTTGAATTCTTCTACTATAGATAGATTGAGAGACTCGTTGCTCTGTCCTAACTTCTTCACTCCTGCCTAGAACTCAGTGATCTCCTGTATCTGAGTCCTCAAATCTGGTTCCATCTGTGGTCTAGACTCCTCAGCCTAAAGTGCACTTAACATTTACTGCTTTACCCTGTAAGCTATTTTTACATATGCTCTACCTTGCTTGCAACTAGATTGCAGAACAGTTGATGGTAGGAATTGCCCTAAAGGTCAACCAATACATAACATTCCACAAATATGAGATGGTAGCTGATAAACATGTGCACCTTTTTTTTTTAGACCATCATGTGGACCTGCTGAGGCTTATCTGCTGTACAGCCATTTCTGTGAGCGATGCCGCTGTCATGCTCCAGATGTGTCAAGTTGAGTGGGATGATTTTTAATTTCATTAAGGTGGTATTGTCAGGGCTTCCCAAGAGTATTTTCTTTGTTTATATCCATCGTGTTTAGATATTCACTACCTTCTTTCCACATTATACACTTTTGCTTAATTGTTAACATTCCTCAGTTTTTCTAATGTGTTGACCAGTGTGTTTTATTTTATTTTATCATTAGATAGAACGTACAGGTAATTTTTATGTAGTTTCTATAAAAAAATTGAATGAAAGGGGAGAGAAAGTATCAAACATATTCAAAGCCTCCTGCACACTCGCTTTCCCACTTTTCACAGAGAGGAAAATCAGTGGGTCTAAACATCTGTCTTCGCCGAAACCGGTTTGGCTCAGTGGATAGAGCAAAAATCAGTGGGTCTAAACATCTGTCTTCCTTATCAGCTGTTTTATGTCTGTCATCTTGTTCTGTGGATTTCCAAATATGTCAGTGTACCTGTTCAAATTCTTTTCCTGCTTTGTGACTCTAACAGAAGTGTCAGTATTTTTGAAAGTGTTTTTTTTCATGCCCCTTTTCTTAAAGGAGTTTAAAAACAAAGCATTATCTCATTTATTCTGATTTATATTAGTTGCCTTGCTTGCTTTTGCTTTCCATATGAGGTGCAAATGCCTGTTCTTCAACTTAGCTCCTTTATTCAGCTTATTCGTTCTGGTTTTATCATAATTATCATTTCCTCTTAAAAAAAAAGAATAGGTATTATGAGAAATTTCTCTAGGGTTCCCTCCCAATTTCCTCACTGCCATTACAGAGCCCCTGTCCCATCAGTCTTGATCATGCACGTTGGATACTCTTACTCTTTGCATTCTTCTTTTCTCAGAGCAATTGTAATCTGCTTTAATTATGGTGGATACTCCAGCAGCCTGCCCTTCTCCTGGGTCTTAGTATTCCCTCCTTCAATACCATACTCACTAGATTCGTATTTTAATTCCCCAAAATTAGCTCTCTTGAATTCTAATGCCCTGATAGGACTGCCTGCATTCTGGTTATGAGCACGATCCCACCAGGTTTCAGAAATGCCGACGAAGGCAAAGCTTTCTGCATTTCTGCATACCTCGGATTGCTCTCGCTCATTTCTCAGAATCCTTCCGGGCCTCAGGCTTTGCCTTTCTCTCTTCTTAAATTGCTGTGGCAGATCCTTCCACAGGTAAGAGAAAATGTTGTTTTAGAGGCCTGATATATGACATGACTTTTGACCATTTTATTTTTTAAAAAATCTCTTCAGTAAAAGATATTCTTTTAAATAGCTACTTATTTTTAAAATACAATATTTTTTATTCCCCACACTCTACCTGATACTCCAATACTGTCACCTTCCACGCTTCTTCTCTGTTGTCCACTGGAATTTCACATGGTGGGGAGTATGTGGAGGCCAATGGTGATACATAAACATACTCCAGCTCACAGAACCATTTTCTATCAGCACTTATAAACACACACACACACACACACACACACACACACACACACACAACAGTGAATAGCTCATCTTTCCTAAAAATTTGCCTTTGATCATCTCAATACAACAAATAAATATTTATACTCATTTTTATGAGGGTAGAGATTTCAGAGACTCCATATTTATCTCTGAGAATAAAACCTTGGGATATCCATACATGGATGAGGGAGACACACCCAGTTAATGACACACTCATGGTAAATTCATAATTGACTTCCAGTCCTGACTCCTATCCTACAACCATGCTGCCTTCCAGCACTTATTACAGTATCAATTGAAATGCACCCAATTACAGTTAAGTGAAACATAACTCAAACTAATTTAAATTAAAAAAAGAATTTATACTGCAGAAATATGGCAAATATTAAGTAAGGTTTAATCCAGTCATTCAATACTCCCACCAATTACCTATTTCCAGTTTTTCTCTCTTCGGCCTTTTGTAACGTCACTTCTTCCTAAAGAGGACTCCTATTGTGGTGCTAAGATGAGGTCCCCAATCTCCTGGCCTACCTGCTTCCTCTTTCTTGTCGGGGAAGAAAAAGAGCATTACTTCAGCATTTCTAGCAAGTCCTGATTATCCTCTGATTGGACCAGCTTTAGTCACATAGCCCCTTCAACATCACTGAGACTGGACTAGGGAATGCATTCACAGGCTTGGCCTGGTTTACATGCTCTAACCGGGAAGAAAAAGAGCATTACTTCAGCATTTTTAGCAAGTCCTGATTATCCAGCTTTAGTCACATAGCCCCTTCAACATCACTGAGACTGGACTAGGGAATGCATTCACAGGCTTGGCCTGGTTTACATGCTCTAACCCTAATGTCAGGAGAAGAGCCTGTTTCCTAAGAAATACATGTTTTACAAAACAGAAATTATAACTACTAGGGAGGGAAACGAGGAGCATATATTCTGGAGTCAACACAAACACTTGAAATCCATAAAAATCTTACCCCAGAATATGTTGTTTACCCAATCTATACTGCAGGCCTATTGTAATAATGGCAATAGGAAAAACCCTTCCTAATGACTGCTCTCTCCTTAGAAAGAGCAAACACACACTCAAATAGAGCAAAAGCTGTCTCCTGGCTTCTAGCAGGAAGTAGTTTGGGTACTTGGTCAAGTGACTTAAAGTCTTTCCATTTTTATTTCTCCAAGATTAAAAACAATATTGTTTTAGAGACAAATCCAGATAATACTAAAAGTTGTCCAATTGTGGTCCTATTTTGTCATTTTTTTAAACTTCTACTTCACAAAGACAGAAACAATTTCTAAATGTTTTGGTCAGATTAAAACAGTGATTGCGCAAGATGATGGAAGCAAATGCTTTTCTGCTACAATGAGCAAACATTCTTCTTTGGGATAATAAATTTATTTAAATGCATAACGTTCAAGGGGTTAAGAAGCAGGACCCAACCTGTTTGTCTTTGCCTTGGATTATTAGTCATTTAAAATCCCTTTACCGGAGATGATGGTTCCTCAGGGAAGTCTGCCAAATAAGAATGAGAAAGCTCAGGTGAGAGCCAGGGTGAGGGAGATGAGCATTGCTGGGGAAATAGATACAATGTGCAGCCATAGGGAGCCTACAAATAAGCAATTCCTCTCTCTCTCTCTCTCTCTCTCTCTCTCTCTTGGAAGTCATAAAAAAAGGGTCATTCAATGCTACAATTCCCTCCCTCTCTCCCTCCTTCCCTTCCTCCTTCCCTCCCTCCCTTCCTTCTTTCCTTCTTTCCTCCCTTCCTTCCTTCCTTCCTTCCTTCCTTCTTTCCTTCCTTCCTTCCTTCCTTCCTTCCTTCCTCTCATTGGATAGCCTTAATGCCAAGTTTACCCTTCCACAAAAATGTTGTTTTTTATTGATCAAATTCTGAGCTAATTTAAAATGGAATTAAATAATAGTTTTCAGAACTTACCTACATTTTCCTATGTATATTATACATTGTTCAAGATAATTTATGAATGTCAACCTGAATGGACAGCTTACATTCTCCTAGTTCCTTCAAATATGTCCTAATATAAAAGATTTTCTTTGTAACCTCTAAGGAGTATACCGACATTTAGTCAAAAGTACTACTCTTTAATTCTGAATGTCCACAGAAATGTGATATTTAGGATTCTGTTTACTTTTCTATCTTGAAATTAAAAATAAAATGTATGTCCTTCTTGGTTTTTAACCATAACTGGATTAACTAATAAATAAGTATTTTCTGAATATTTTATTCAGACTGCAGTACTTGGAATTTCCATGAGTTTCAAGAACAGCTGTGACTTACCTGCTGCAAGCAATCACTAGCGAGTCCTTTGTTAGGGACTCCAGTTTTCAAGGAGCTAAGTGTGACTTTGACATTTTTAAAAGAATCTTGGGTTGAGTCTTATAACAGAGCTCTTGACAATACAAAGTTTTCTAGTAAAAAGAAAAAAAATCAAATACTTCTGAAAAAAGAACCTAGTAGAATTCCTAAGTCATAATTTGAAAGGAATGGCAAATCATGTAACCTTGCCACCAATTAACCTTGACTTTAAGGCCAAAGGTCAGGGCTATTCCTATAGCTAAGTCCTCCAGGTGTGGTGCTAGGATGAAAAGGTGACAATTTGGAGGACAATTTACAAGCCAGACATAATCATCGGAAATGTTGATTCTGTGTCATCCTAAGAATTTATGGAAGCCGGAAGGAAAGCAAATATGTTGTGCTAATTCAAGCAGTTACAGCTTCCTTTCCTGTTACTCTGTACAGGAAAACTCCTACAGAAGTTGTAAATCTCACCTTTCTGCAAAACTAATGAGATGATGTCACTATGTGGGGCAATGACCTGGGGGCCCTATGAACAGCAGGCAGCATTAAAAGGGGCTTCCAAAACTTTACCTGGAAACAGAAGAACTAATCAGGAAACTAGAACCAACCTCATGTCAATGAGTCATTCTTTTTCAATGGAGGTACTACCTGAACCCACAATTGTAGAAAGGAAAGTTGATTGATTTTCACACTACTAGTTTAATAATTGTGGTAAGAGATTTAGCTCTAGCCAGGAACAGTTCTTGTGTCTTCACCATTATTTTTCATGGATTCATTTATTCAATAAGCAGTTATTGACCATCTAGACACTGAACTAGTCTCTAGGGAAACAAAAAAAGAGTAATGTACACTCCCAGGGTGTTCATAAGTTGTTAAATAAAGGTGCCATAAAAGCAAATAAAACCGGGACAAGTGCTATGAGAGAGAAATGCTGGCCTCATGACCAAGTAGCAGGATTTGCAAAATGCCTAACTGGAGTTCAGAATTTCAACTGTGTCCCTGAACCAAAGTGATGCTGAAGGCCCCCAAAATGATTAAACTGAAGACCATGACCTCGTGTCTACAATACTCAACTAACCATAGACAAAGCAAGGTCGGTGGTGAAAGAAAAGTCTTCAGACACACACCCCTCTGGCCTGGGCCTTGCTTTTTAAGGTTGCCATCCCTGTGGTTGAACTTCATTGTTAAAGCCACTTGACTAGGTGTAAGCTTTTTATTTTACATTAAAAATGTAACCCCTGGGCTTTCTTGCACATATTCTTAATTAATTAATTTCTTCTTTCATTAAACAATAGAACATAGATGGGAACTTCAGGATAAGTGTAGGATGAGGCTTCTGGATCAATTATAAATTATCAACTTGGGATGCCTAGTTATTGCCCCATTCCCCCAACCCCTACCAACATCCACAATCTCCTATGACAACTGTGTCCCTGCCAGACTCAGGCTCATCCCTAACAAAAGTCTGATTTCTAAGGAAAATCACTACAATATTTTCATATAGATAAAAGCAGGTAAAAATCAACTTTAGGGGCAATGTTGAAGGGTAAAAATTGATATAGGTGGAATTGGAGTGGGTTATAAAAGCATATTATCTGCTATTGTCTTGATGAGGATAACTGAGATCTTAGTACATAGAAGGACCTTCACACATATTGTATGAATGAACATGACAAATGATAGCATAGATTAGATTAAGGTGAAAGGTATGCCCTTTTTGATTACTAATGTTTTATCTGAAAGTATAAGAAGTTGACTATAAGAGTACTTTGTATGCATTAATTCATTTGATATTGTTTATTTTACACATATAATGAAACAGAGTTTGAAAAGAAGTGAAAAACTTTCCAAAGGTTTTCCTTAAGGCAACACAGTTAGTTACTGCCTGGGCCAGAATTCAAACTCAAGTCTCAATTGATTTTATATATATCATGGTAATACCTCACCACTTATATGGCCCTTATGTTCAAGCACTCTTTTTTTGCCTGATATTAACTCATGATTATTGAAAACCTAAGTGTCCTTTGAAAGACCTGGATAAAGATGTGGTACAATAGAATATTACTCAGCCATAAAAAAGAATAAAATCTTACCATTCACAACCACATGGATGGACCTACACTGTATTATGTTGAGTGAAATAAGTCAGATAGAGAAATACAAATATCATATGATTTCACTTATAAATGGAATTTACCAAGCAAAATAAGTGAATAAACAAAACAGAAGCAAATTCATAAATACAGAGAACAAACTGATGATTACCAGATGGGAGGAGTGTTGGAAGGATGAATGAAAAAGGTGAAGAAGATTAAGAATTATAAATTGCCAGTTATAATAATAGTCATAAGGATATAAAGCAAAGCATAGGGAATATAGTTAATAATAATGTAATAATTATGTATGGTTTCAGACAGATACTAAACTTATGGTGTAATGACTTTGTAAGGTGTATAAATGTCTAATCACTATGTTGTATACCTGAAAGAAATATAATATTGTATGTCAGGATAATTAAAATATAAATTTTAAAATAAATTTGTGAAATAAAAAGAATGTATGAGGAAATGGATATTACTGTATGAGGAGGAAAGAAGAAATCATTCTCAATAATGATGGCAAATAACCAGTTCTCCGCTAAATAGCTCATCAGAAGTGAAACACCTCCACGTTCTCATGGTAATCTCCTTGGGGGTAATACTGCCTATTCCACATCCCCCACATCTCTGTAGAAAGTATTCAACAAAGACTACTAGTGAAAGCCATGCTATTTAGATTGTTGTTCTCAAATGTCTTTAGTTCTTAGTGGAAATCTTAAGAAATCCAAGGTCTTCTGGAAACATAGCAAATATAATAGTGCTAGAGGCCCGGTACATGAAATTCATGCATGGGAGGGGGGTCCCTCACCCCGGCCTGCACCCTCTCCAACCTGGGACCCCTCGGGGGATGTCCGACTGCCAGTTTAGGATGCGGGATCAGGCCTAAGTCGGCAGTCAGACATCCCTCTCACAATCCAGGACCACTGGCTCCTAACCGCTCACCTGCCTGCCTGCCTGATCACCCCTAACCACTCTGTCTACCTGCCTGATGCCCCTAACTGCTCCCCTGCCTGCCTGATTGCCCCTAACTGCCTCTGCCTGCCTGCCTGATCACCCCTAACTGCCCCCTCGCAGGCCTGCCTGATGGCCCCTAACTGCCCTTCCCTGCTGGCCTGGTCACCCCTAACCACCTCTGCCTCAGCCCCCACCACCGTGGCTTTGTCCGGAAGGATGTCTGGATGGATGTCTGGAAGACATCCAATCTAATTAGCATATTACCCTTTTATTAGTATAGATTAGAGACACAATAGTAATTTGGATTCACCTCTTACACACCTTTTCTGGATTAGTCATGACCTGACCCTGGCCTTTGAGTTTTACTGAGGTATTTATGTGTTCCATAGAATAGTCCATAATTTCTTCTCTTTACTGCACAGGAGTTAGTGGTTGATGATAGAAGCCCAAATCAGAGGTGATATTTAAAATGGTCATCAATTATCCTATATAATAAAAGGGTAATATGCAAACTGACCCTAACAGCAGAATGACTGGGAATGACTGGTCACTATGACACTCACTGACCACCAGTGGTCAGACGCTCAATGCAGGAGCTGCCCCCTGGTGGTCAGTGCGCTCCCACAGGGGGAGCTCTGCTCAGTCACAAGCCAGGCTGACGGCTGCCAGTACAGCAGTGGTGGTGGGAGCCTCTCCTGCCTCCTCAGCGCGCTAAGGATGTCCAACTGCAGCTTAGGCCTGCTCCCCGCTGGCAAGTGGACACCCCCCGAGGGTTCCCGGGCTGCCAGAGGGATGTCTGATTGCCAGCTTAGGCCCAATCCCCTGGGGAGCGGGCCTAAGCCAGCAGGTACTCATCCCCCGAGGGGTCCCAGACTGCGAGAGGGCACAGGCCGGGCTGAGGGACCCCCCCCCCCAGTGCACAAATTTTTGTGCACCAGGTCTCTAGTCTATATATATAAAAGGCTAATATGCTAAGTGTCCATCCAACCAGTAGCTATGGCACACACTGACCACTAGGGGGCAGACACTCAATGCAGGAGCTGCAGAGCTACAGTGACTTGGCAGCGGCGGTTCTCCAGTGATGCACCCCAAAACCAGAAAGGAGGGAGCCCAGTTCTTCATGGGGCCACACGATTCCACCTTGGCCATGGGTTATGTTGTTGCTGGGGCACTGTCAGCCCCGAATCTGGTTTACTGCACACTTGCGTCACATCCTATATGACAGAAATTTTGCAGAGTGCCCTCTCTCACTCTGGGACTGCTTGGGGGATGTCGGAGGGCTGGTTTTAGCCAGATCCTCGCAGGCCAGGCTGAGGGACTCCACCTGCCAGAGGGACCCCGCTCACTCTGCAGACGCCATTTGAGCCACACCCTTTGAGCCACGGTGCCACCCCAGTTGCAGTTGGCCAGGGAGGGACCACAGGAGGTTGGCCCCAGGGTGTTTCCAGCCCGTCTCTCCCAGTCCCACCCCGCTCCACTGGCCACCTTCTAATTTCCTTTCAATGTGCACAAACCCATGCACCGGATCACTAGTTTATTGATAGTTACCAATAAACATCAGACCCAATTGGAAGGAATCACAGTTATGAATACCCAATACCACTGTTCCAAGGCTTACCTATTAAATATCAGCTCTTCCTGAACTTAGATTCAGACCAGTGTTTCCATCATTTTTATGGAATGAAGATTAATCACAATGTAACAATGTGGCATGCACACACGTGCTCACGAACCTGAACAAATACCTGAATTTTGTCCTTCAAATGAAGCAATCACCTCAGGAGTATAACACAATTATTTAATGTGCTGTCATTTTTGCTCAAAACACTTTTAAAATTCCTCTTGGAATTGCCTTCAGGGTCAGTTTATGAACAACAAAAGATAATTTATCTTTTTTATAGTCGCCCCTCATTTTTGACAAATTTATAATACCTACCTTCATTACCCTTAATCAGAAACAGCTCTCTATAATTTCTGGCTGTTTCCAAAAATCAACCCAACTTTCAAAAGAAGAATATGTGTCCCAATTAAGTCCCAAAATGCAAGCAAACAAATAGGATACAAACTATGAAAGAAACTAAAAGGAAAGTGAAATTATATATACCAAAGGTCCCATAAGAAAAGGTACAGTCTTTTGTTATTCAAACTTTGAGACAATGTACCACATCTACATTTCCATCCACAGGAAAAGCCCTTCTGACTCAAGCTGCCATGTTTTGGACCATGTGACTGGACTATCCAAACTTCACCCTCATTTACAGAGCATTGGACCAGTGGTGTACATCTAATTCAAGACAACCAATCTGCAGCTGGCCAATACCTGTGGTCTGGTTTTAAAAAATGAGTGGGGCCAATAGGAATCTCAATTTTGAGATATGAATTAAGAAACATAAAAGTAAATTTTCAGCACTGTGGAAGTTGAAGTTGAAAAGTGATAATATGATAGGTGGAAGTGGGGAGTAAGCAGACAGAAGAGTAGAAAGGAGTAGAAATATGGTAAACAGGAAAAACAGACCAGTGGAGACAGGAGCATGGAGCTTGTGGCCATGGAGAATCAGGTATGCTTTAGGAGACCACAATGAGCACTCCTAGATTGTCTCCCCAGCATTGATTCTCTTCTTAGCAACCCTGATTGTCATTTAGGCAACTATGTGATTCTGAGCATGTGACTTCAACCATTCTATCAGAGTGAAACAATGACCCAAGCTAAGCCAACAAGCACATAATCAGCTGGCCATGGAGATTGGCTTAAGGGTGGGAATGCAGTCCAAGCAATTACGGTGTATATCAAGATTTTTGTTATGAATGCTAGACAAGAGACCCTCTCTCTCTTCCCAGCCGGAAGTAAGAAAAGTGTATTTCTGAGAACTCTTGGTAACCATTTTGGAATCTCAAAGTTGGTCAACCTTGGGATAAAGCTGACACCATGGAAATAACATAGAGCAATGGTTCTCAACCTTGGCTGCATATTAGAATCACCTGGGAATCTTTTTAAAATTCTGATTTCTGGGCCTCATCCTCCGGAAATTCTGTTTCTTTGTTAAGGGGCGGGGCCACAATGGCAGCAGCAGGCAAGCAAGCTACCAAGGACAGGGGTGTAAGAGTGAGCACCTCCTGCCAACCCAGAACCTCTTGGGTGGGGCCACAACATTAGTAACAAAGAAACAGAATTTCTGGAGGATGAGGCCCAGAAATCAGGATTTTAAAAAGAGTCCCAGGTGATTCTAATGTGCAGCCAAGGTTGAGAACCACTGACAATAGAGACAAAGATAAAAAGACATGGGCTTTAGTGTTATTTTGGAGCTGCTAGATCAAACTGCTTCTGAAGTTATAGATCTGCCTGTTGTTTCTTAAACTTAAACCACTCAGTACCCTTTATTGTTTAAGCCAGTTTGATTGCTTTTCTTACTTGCAAACAAAAGCATGTTTGACACAGAGAGAAGACAAAAACCTGTCTACAGGAACTCTTTAATTCCCAAAATTTCAGCTTCAATTCCAGTCTATGCCTATTCTCCAAAATAAAGCCTCTTTTAAAAGCTAGCCTGAGTAAAATTTTGCTTTTTTAACCCCAACACCAATCTAGATGCATAATGTGATTGAGAAAATCATTATGAAATGATTACTTTTATATTTTCTAAATGGATTTTATTCTGATATTCAGTGTCTTATATTTCTCATTTTATTCCAGAACCCAATAATCTTTTTTTTCATTATTTAAAATGAAATATCCTATGATTAATGATAGTAGATATTTTAAAACTACAGATTCCCAATGAATTTATTCATTAAATCCTGAAAAATAAATTATAAATATTTTTAATAATAAGAAGTTTTACTTATTAAAAAAATTACTCAACTAAAAAGGATCTAAAGTCAGAAATAAAATTCACTCCCCAGAATCCCAGACCCATTTCTCAGATACCATTGTACAGGTAAGTTTGTATTCTTCTAGATCCTTTGTCAATGCATGTATGTAAATTTTAAACTAATAATGGAAAGATACCATGCATGTTGTTCTTCAAATTGCTTGTTTTTTTCTTGGGATATATTCCTAGAAGTGGGATAGAT